TTCCCTTTTCCCCCATATTTTCCAGCTGGATTATTTTTTGACGCCGTTAGCAAAGATTCGCTTTCTGACTTAACACGCCCACTTAGGCAGGGACACCAGTGGCGGACTGGGCAGTCAAAGGAAATCTGGAAGTGGGGCCCAGTTTTTCCTACCTCCCAGGGGCAACATATACGTAATTATGCACACCAAGGCACACATGTCTGGCCCGTTTCAATTAAGTGTATGCTTCCCAGCATGTGCCGACATTGTAACTATATATACCGCTTGTAGAAATATGTCGCGAGCGGAGCGAGCGCGAAATTTTTTTGATTGTGTGAGGTCGCTAAGGCCTTACGAGTACCGAAACGTGGGCAGGATTCCGTCGGACGCGATCTATGTACAGTGCTCTTTTAGAACAATAAAAAAACGCGAGCGAAGCGAGCGCGAAAAAAATTACATGGCGCTTGAATCTAGGGCTCAGGCCGGGGCCCCTGTCCGGTGTCGCGCTAAGGACTTGGGCCCGTGGCTCCACACGGAAAAAAAATAAAAATCGGTTCCGTGCTAATCGATTTAGCAGGCAAATTTGGCACCCATGCCAAAAAAGTAGCTACAGGATAAAATATTTAGCTGTACTGCTAAAAAGTATTGGTGATACAGCTAGACCATTGCTTCAGTTAGCTGTACAACTAAAAGTTTAGCACTGGAGCTAAAAAAATAAGCTAGGCCTATGCTGACGAATTTTTAGCACCAGTGCTAAAAAATAGCTAGGGCGCTATACTTTTTTTTTGCGTGCATTCCTTCTCTCCAGCCCTTCGGGCCCGAGATGTCCGCGAGCAGGGGGCCCGGGTGGGGAATCCCCCCTCCCCACATTGGCCAGTCCGCCACTGAGGGACACCCCCGCCCCTATTCCTTGCCGGTGCCGGTACTACTTGCTACTCGTTCTGGTTCCCTTCCCTTTCTTTCTCCCTTTCCTTTCCTTCCTCTTTCCTCTCTCTCTCCTTCTCTTTCTCTTCTCTCCCTTTTCCCCTCTCTTTTTTTTCTTCCTCCCTTCTTACACCCGGTTATTCCTACTCACACCCGGTTATTACCATTTTAGGTGCAGCATTTGCTGCACCTCGGACCCCCTCTTGGCGCCACTGGGCGACGTTATTTCTATTACGCCCCCCTTCACGAGGCATGGGTACGTGTATGTAGTTGAATTTCAACTCGCCGCCCACAAGGAAAGCTTCATTAGAATTCAAAATTCGCTCAAGCTTGTCGAGCACCACGCGTCCCGAAAGTTGGTCGGTCCGACGCAGGTTAAGCCACACGGGGTTATCACCATTTTCCCCACTGGAAATCTCTACAATGGCCCTGTCTCCATCAGCAGCACCTACAGCATCACGCTGTCGCTGCAGCACGGAGTCAAACAAGGACTCCATGAGCTCCCCCGAGGGTAGAGACCCACCAAGACCCGTGATGAGCATGCGCTCCTCGCGAAACGTCACGTTCTTATAACGTGTGAGTTTCCGCTCCCGTGTCTCCAACACCTCCACGGTCGGTTGCACCTCCTCCTCGTCATCCTCATCCAGTGAGCGTTTGGATGGCCCTGGCTGAGGTGAACGGGGGGCGGAGGGGCCGGCCTGTGGGGTGGCAGGGCGAGAGGGACCCGCCGGTGGCGTGACGGGGCGGGGTGGTGTGGCTGGACCAGCCTGGGGCTGTACCTCAGGTGCAGCAGGGCGGGGTGGACGCACTGAGCCTGCACCCACCATGGCCATGGCCATCTTGTAGGTGGCAGCGGCCTGGCGGTCACCACCTCCCCTTTCCCTCAGGTAGGCAGCGTACCCAGCCTTCAGGAAGTCGGGGAGGTGTGGGTCCTGCAGCTCCGCAGGGGTGGCATCCCCGAGAGCCATGAGCATCTCAAGGTACGCCTCCACTAGGAGCGGCTGCTCGTAGACGCAGCCCTCTGACCACTCC